CTCAGCCGGGATGTTTTCTTTCCCCCTTTTCAGAGAGATCCTTTTTTTTTTTTTTTTTTTGGTCCATTTGGGTATTTGAATTTTGAAGATCAGTTACTTAGACATCACATTCATGATAGAAATGGTTCCTAGCACTCTGAATGTATCCTATTGATAGCCCGATGTTTAAAAATTTAAAAGATAATTGCTTTAAACCTGTAGAATTTTTTTTTTGCAAAGTTGGCTTTGTCTATTCTATGCTACAATCTTTCCATCCTAAATTTATTTAATTCTCCATCATTTTTTATCAGGAGGACTAAGGTGAGTGTATGTAAAATGAATAATAACGTTACGAAATTTCGTTTTATAAAATATCTCACTGGGTAAAACGCTCATGTTTAAAAATGTTTAGAAACTACATATTTGGAGGTGAAGTTTTTCAGTTCTGATAATAACTGAAGGGTTTTCCTTCAAAGCTTAAAATTGTAGCTGCTTTCGGATGTTGAGTAAATATTGGTTTTCTTCTACATCCTGGATTAAATTTCACTCATCCGAGTGATTTAGGACTTTAGAAATTGTTACTGAAATGTTGGTTTAAAATGTCCTGTTTTTATGTTTCCTCCCATGTGGACTATGATACATTTTTAACATTTGTGTTTTGTCTTTTATTGGTCAGTTTTCATGTAAATCCGACAAGCAGTGAAGACCTCAGGAAAATCCCGGTAAGTTGCAGAGGGGGTTAGAGAAGCGGAAAGCAAGCCACAGCCAGCCTTCTGTTGGGCACACGTTTCCAGAAAGGCTCCCATCCTCTCGAATCCCTGTTGCCTACCGATTATAGCTTAGCATGAGTATTTGGGGAGAAAGAAGAAAAGCAAAACCCAGTCTTTATTTTTAATATATGATAGGGTGTGACTTTTATTCAATTAATAGAACTTCAGGTAAACATAATTATAATTGAAGCCTGCTCAGCATATACATATTTTGTTTGCAGACTGTTTTAAAATTAATATGAAAGCTGTATGGCAAGGTCAACATTATTGTTAGGAAATAAGACCATGTGGAGAAAATGATTTGTTGTTGGGACAAATACTGAAGAAAGAATAATAACGCTTATTAACATTCAACAATCTTGCATCCTGGCAGGAAATGCAGTTAACCAGGAGTGCATTTGAAAGAACCTTTAGGACACTAACCTTCCCAGACAGAACAAAACCATACATATTGGCTGGCTTGGTGTAGCCAGCAGCCGAGTTAAGCTCACATATCTGGCAAAGATTATTCAGGTATCTTAACTTCATGCTCTTGTTATTTGAAATCCAGTTTTGGATCTCTGTTCAGAGTTCCACTGCATCTTCAGTCAAATCGAAATATATTAAACCTAGGGCAGAAGTTACTTTATCAAAATGTGGGCACGTGTTCTTGGTAGAAAACTAAATTCTCATTGAATAACAGTAGAGCCTTTACTCCAAGATGCTGGTGGTTGCTCTTTGAACCATCTGCCCTTAATGTGTGTGATCCAGATGTATAATAAGAATTTTTTAAAGCAATAACATACCACAATTTTCTATGATGAGCTATGCCCAGAAGAAACCATGGTAGTGTATAAACCATTCTAAATGTAGTTATTTCTTTAAAATTATAGAAAACATTCTAGAAGCTTTGTGCCGTGTTCTTGCTGTTTTATGTAAATGACTTGTAAGTTTTTATGCTTCATAAATACTCCAGTCTTTATAAGATGCAGTCTGGCGAGAAATGTCAGAATATCTGAAGTGAGCCTTTGATCAAATAGTAAAATGAACTCTATCAGGCAAGTTACTTAATCTCAAACAAAATGCAAACATCAAAAAATCGATTTCATGTGTAGCTATTGTTTGTTAAGTAACCTTAATTACAATTTCTATGTGCTTGTAAATGTATTTTTCCAAATCTTGTAATTTATTGCTGTAAAAGCATCCTTAGAATTCTTTAAAGAAATAAAATGTGAAAATTGTTTTAGTTAAAGGATTTAAAAGTGATAAAAGAATCCTTGATGTGTGATTATTTTTCTCTGGAATACTAACGATTCTAAGGACAGTTAAAGGATTACTTAGGTGTTGTTAATTTACTGCAAGATACAAATAGGAGGAGGAACCCATCCTCAGACCAATCGTTTTTTGAGGAAAAGTATTTGAACAATTTTTATGTTGAAGATTAGAAGATGTTTGAAGTAATTTACATTAAGTTCTCCGATAATAGCCATCCAGCAAGTTATTTTTCCCCCTTCTGGACATAGTATTTTGTAATTAAGTTTGTATGTCTTATATGCTAGTGCCAACACCTGTCTGTGAAAGCAGTGTTTAAACAGGAGCAGTAGCCAGTTGAAAGGGCAGTGTGAGCTCTTTAAGGCCTAATTAAGAACTGAAAGGGAGATGAAGGGAGTAGGACAAAAGATGTGAAAGTAGCTGCGATGATATTCCCAGAGCAAAGTTCCTCATTAGAACAATAATGAGATGATCAGAGAATGCCAAGCCTTCGTCTTATCTCTCTCTCTCTCCTCTAGTTGCCTTGGATGTCAGTTAGTGCCCCACCAATATTTGGTTACCAGGACAACCTTTCTTTAAATCTTCAGTTATTTTGAGTCCTGATCATTTGCTTTTGTTCAAATTTAAATATTGTAAAAAATATATACATTTCCTAGTTTACTGTGTAAAGTAAAAATAGATCACTAGTGATTCTCAAAAGTCTTTTGCACAACTATATGTTATTTAAGATTTTGATTAGAAATCTTCATGTAATAATTCTATTCTCTCACCCAACACCTAATTCCTTATATCTGCATATGGAAATTTTTAACAGAGGTTGGGTGTGAATGAAAAAGAATTGGTTGTGAAAGGGAAGAAGGAAGAAAAATTTACATTTCAATGTAAGATGACATCTTAAAAACATATGTGCTGTCTGTGTGGAGTGCTGGAGGAAATAATGTTGAGTACTTAGGCATCCCATGTAGGTTACTTGAGTCTATACCAATAATTTATATTTTCCTGAGAGTTCTCCACTTTAAGCAAAATACTTTTTTTTGCTTATTTTAATTTTCTATTGTACATATGAATTGATATCAGTTGTTATTTTATTTGGAATTATATCAACAAACAAGGATATATATTTATTGAGTGCATCAATTTAAGAATCTTATGCCTAAAATTAAAAGGTATTTACCTGCTTTTCAAATATGGGATAAAGTCTGGAACTAAGCATAAGACTTTTTAATTATTTTATATATTTTTTCAGAATATAGTTTATAGTACATGTGTTTCTAAAATGTTTTCTGCCTAAAAACTTGATGCAGAAATTTGGGGGTAAAATTTTCACATAAAAGGACAAATGGAAAATTTATTGAAAAGGTCAGAAGTGTATTTCCAGGAAGTCTGCCTGTGCACAAGTATTAGAAGGTTGTAGGGGAACAAAATGAGCTGAATAATGGAACTGTATATTTTAGATTATGACTGTATAGTGTAACACTATTCCGGGATAATAACTAATTATTTTGAGATTAAATTGTTAGATAGTCATGAAATAAAATTTAGACTATGTCAAAATAAGAATAGCTTGACATTTTTCATCCTCATCGTCTCTAGAGAAATATTTAAAAAATATTTTAGCTACATTTTCTGGTATTACTGGTATAGTGCTAAATATAACAATGTAAGTGATTTTCTAACTATGTTCATCCCTTAATTTGTTTGTAGAAGTTAGTTCATATGTGTATAATTTGATTAAGATTAGAGAGACTCAAGCATGTGATTCTTAAATTAAGAAAAACATAAGTCAACCAATCAGTAACGAATCCCATTTAGTTTAATTTCATGAATCCCTGCAATTCTCACCAGAATCCCTATTTTTCAGTGAATATTTTATTAGAAAGATGAAATCACATTAGTTGGGTGGTGTTACTTTTTAAAAACGCAGTTCAGAAATATCACTATATAAACCAGGACATTTTAGAGTTAAAAGACCTTGGAGAACATCTCATTTGTCAAAGTGAGAGCTAGGTTAGTCTCTGTCTCATTTGTGCTGAATTATTCACGTTAAAGTGAGGAATTTTAGCTTATTTTTAATAAATTTAAAAATATATACTTACCTCTATAGTGTATCTTTTCTATAGAAACCTGCTTAATAATTATTTAATAAGAATGTGGCTAGGAAATTATAATCATGTTTTATATCTCTATTCATGACCAATTAAACTATTCAATACATGAGAGGGTATGTGTATTGAGACTTACTCTTAAAAAAGATGAATTGATCTGAGAGAGAAGAGAATAAAAGTAGATTAACAGAATTGTCCTTTAACTGTTGGAGAGTAACATTCTGAAATGTTTTTAGAGACAAAGGTAATATAACGCATGAAGTTGTATCTTCCCAGTTTCTAATATTAAAACAAAATAAGGTGTTTTAAATATATCTTACAGAACTTAAACTCACTTCCCCTTAGCAGTCTCCCTATTCATTCTGTTGACCTGGTGGAGGCCCTCATCAATATCTGGTCTGTGATATTTCAATAGCTTCATAACTAATCTTAGCCCCTCCAAGTGATTTTCCCCACTGCTGCCATTTTCATTGTCCTAGAACAGTGATGGCGAACCTATGACATGCGTGTCAGAGGTGACACACGAACTCATTTTTTTGGTTGATTTTTCTTTGTTAAATGGCATTTAAATATATAAAATATCAAAAATATAAGTCTTTGTTTTACTATGGTTGCAAAGATCAAAAAATTTCTATATGTGACATGGCACCAGAGTTAAGTTACGGTTTTTCAAAATGCTGACATGCCGAGCTCAAAAGGTTCGCCATCACTGTTCTAGAACGTGGCTTCAATCATATCTTTCTTGTCTACGGAAACCTTCGGAGGCTTCCTATCTCCCACAGCAATAAGCCTACAAGTCCTTAGTGATGGCATTGATCATCCTCGATGATGTTTGGAACCTGCCATCTCAGCCTCTCTGTTACGGTTGTTCAAAATGCTGACATGCCGAGCTCAAAAGGTTCGCCATCACTGTTCTAGAACGTGGCTTCAATCATATCTTTCTTGTCTACGGAAACCTTCGAAGGCTTCCTATCTCCCACAGCAATAAACCTACAAGTCCTTAGTGATGGCATTGATCATCTTCGATGATGTTTGGAACCTGCCATTTCAGCCTCTCGCAGCTCCCAATCCCGAACCTTCCTTGCCGGCCATTCTGTACCGATGACCTGTTTGACCACTGTGCCTCCAGCCTTGCTTCTTCCCTTGAACAGACTGAGCCACTGCTGGAGCTGCACCTTTTGCATTTCCGCCTGGTGCCAGAACCTGAGAGATTCTGTGGGGCGGAGCTGCACCTTTTGCATTTCCGCCTGGTGCCAGCGAGATCTTCTCCGGAACCTGACAGATTCTGTGGGGCTGGGAGGTTTCCCCTTCCTGGACTTGTATTGTTATCCCGGAGAAGAAAGTGTGGTTGGATAACTTACCCATCAAATTGATGCCTGTACTCAAGCTTGATTTTTGGTGTTGGCAATCCTGGTGCCTGAGGGAACAGGGGATAAAAAGTTACACTTTGGCTTTACTCATGGAAACTTCTAGACACATAGCAAATTAAAGTAGATCCTGAAAATGAGTAAAGGCAAATTTAATGTCTATGAAAAACAGAAAAAGAACCTTCTGCATTCATTGGTCCCTATTTTCTGTCTCCCACTGAATAGATGAGATACTGTAGTCTGAAAGAGCAAGACCAATTTCCCCAGTATTTTATTTTCCTTAAAGCCAAATGGAAATGTTTTGAATGAAAGTGATAAAAAACATTTTAATTTGTTGAGCTTAGTGATAGAACTATGTACAAAAAGACATAAAAAATACTACTGGTAATTTATGTGTGGGCTTTATATTTTACATAATGAAAAATCTAACTACTATCCACTATAAATGGATGATGACATAGTTTATTAAATTCTTGAGAAATATTTTTCTTTTAATATTAGAATGCTTTGTAATGAAAATTAGGTCAATGCCTTTTTTCTTTTTTGTTTATATTTATACATTAATGTAAAAAGAATTTTCATTAATGGAATAATTTTCACAAAGTAAATCAGCAGTGAAAAGGAAGAGAATGTAGATATACTAATACTAATATTAACATGATCATAGTTGAACTCTGAGTTTCCTGATAACAAGGGCAAAAAGGGAAATAAGATAAGGTGTATAGGCATTGCTACTGTGAGATAGAAATGAACTAGTTACTCGGGGGAGGAAGCGCTCTTTGCCTCTAAATTAAATCAGAAGTTACTCCCATGGGAGCATCTTATAAGATTGAATTCCGAATGCCTTCAACATTTCATTGGAAGAGGCAGATTTGATCTTGCTGCTGCTTGTGCCCATCTTCAGTAAAGTCAAAGACACAGCATGAAACTACAGTTCAGCGGGAGCAGTTTGATGAGAACTAAACTCATGTCCAAATGCATAGTTTTCAACAGCTTCCTATGGTTCCTCAAGTTAATTCTTAGGGGTCTTTAATTTTTACCTATTTCAGTTAAATTTATTAGAGAACATTTTATCTGAATCTTAAGCTGCATGTCTGTCTCTTTTACTAGGACATTGTCCACACGGTAAAAAATGATTGTAGAAGAATTTAGCATTAGAATAAGGGCTTTGATGCCTCTGATCTGACCCAGTGCTTGCCTCAGAACTGACTAGCCGTTCTGTGAACTGTCACGTTGGCTCTCGCCAAGGACAGAGAAAAACCAGAAGCTGAAGTTCCAAATAATTCTGATTTTGTTCTGAGAACTGAAGTGCTGGCCTCTCTCCCGTTCCAGGACAGCAACCCTTTCGATGCCACTGCCGGCTACCGCAGCCTGACCTACGAGGAGGTCCTGCAGGAGCTGGTGAGGCACAAGGAGCTGCTGCGCAGGAAGGACACGCACATCCGGGAGCTGGAGGACTACATCGACAACCTCCTCGTGCGGGTCATGGAGGAGACGCCCAGCATCCTCCGCGTGCCCTACGAGCCGTCCAGGAAGGCTGGCAAGTTCTCCAACAGCTGACGAGCCGTGTGTGCTGCCTGGGTAATTGGGGGCAGAAGGAGGGGAAGGAAAGGAAAGAGAGAAGGAAAGACCTGTTGCCGGAAGAGACTGCACTTGCAGGTTTCAGTCCAGGCTCGTCCGTTGTGCAAAGGTGTTTTACTTGTAAATATGAGCGGGGACTGTCAAGAGTGACCTTTGAAGTGAGCTCAATAATGAAAACTTTGAAAGGGAAAAGGGCCCGATTCCAGTAGGTCAGCAGCTCCCTGGGATTCACTGGGGCGCTGGCCGGCCCGCTCACCTGCCCGAGGCCCAGGCGTGTCTTCAGAAGTCGTGGCTCATTCCTCAGGAAGATTTCTCATGACTTGACATTGTGAGAATTGATACTGTGGT